CAATTCTGCTGAACAGGAAACATTCTCGTAAAATGAGCATTGTCAAGTCTAAACTCGTCGAATTCAATGACCGCCAAGCCAACGATCATCTGCTCTCATATCTCGCTTTTCGTGAAATCAGGAGTAGTGAAATGACAGAATGTTCAACGAAATCCTCAAAAATCGGGAACAGAGCAAACTGACTTTGACTTCTTGAGATTTCGGCCAGCAGAACAAAAACATGACTAAAAGAGAAGGAGCATAATCTCCTTTGCCCAGCATTGGTTGTGATGTGCGCAAGTTGGCACTTTGATTGAATATTTAGGTTGAATCGTATAAGGTGACAGAAAAAAGAAACGAAATGCTTAGGAATAACTTGATAATATTCGAGACTTAAATAAGCGGCAAGATCTTGGCAGAAACCGTCGTTTTTATTTCGAAATCCGATTCAATCAGATTTTAAAGTAACGGTTCTCCAGCAGGGAAGTCAAAACAATCTTTCATAGGAAATTCCTTTTATTTAATAGAGCGGCTATTGACATCTACACTTTGTTTTGATTTGAAATCAAATTTCAAATATGCTCTTAGTTTCTTCATCAGAGGAAAGCAAAAAACATTTTTTATAAGAACAAAATTAAAATGTTGATCTTAAACGCTATGTATCTCTAGAACGATGTAAATCTTTTTTGTAATTAAATAAACTTGCATTTATCAGGGCAGTTCAACACATCTAACTTTTTCACAGTAGATCTTTATTTCGAATTTCCAAATTCAGAATGCTCAAACTTTTTCCAAAAAATACATTTAACTTTAACTTATATGAGGAACTGAAACAGTTTTATGACGGATAAATGCAACATGCCATGGTACTGGGCTAACAACACAATCAAACTAATCCAGTATTCGCGTCAGTCTATGAATGAGACATAGGCTGAGCATAAGGGGGGCACAAGGAAGGGCATACGCCCGCTCATTGATCGGAAGAGGGTACAAAAAAAGAGAGAAGGGCCCTGAATGCGATGTTCTAATACCAACTATTAATAACACCTAATGAAATGAAAATGAACATGCTCAATAGAATGCCAATTTGAATGCACAGTATTTTCAAAAATTACCGGAATAGCTACGTGGGATGGGAAACACCTCCCCTTGAGAAATGCGTCTCATCGTCTGTCTTTTGGTTCGCTAACCTCTATTCATTCCATCCGCTGAAAAACACCTGGCTTGCGTACCCTACACATTTCAAACTGTCTAACGGCGAAGGTCCACCAACTGTCGTGTGTGAAGCGCTTCATGTAGCGATTACCGAGCGGCAACAGGCCAGGTGCCTATACGTGCTCACGTTGATCGGATCGGAGGGAAAAAATAAAAAGCGAAGGAGAGGGGGGTATAAGGATTAGCATAGTGCCACTTCTGCCCATATAAGTACCGCGCCATACTGCAACATTAGTGTGACAAGAAATGCCATTTCATGCACGAAATTTTCAAAAATCTCACCCTACCGTGAGAGGGGGAACCCCTCCCACAGCCACCTAACCCCTCGGATCGCTCGCCGTCCCTGGCCTGACCCCCCCTGTTTCGCAATGCTGCCACGCACACATTGGAATAATAGTATATATAATTAATGTAATAGTATATTAATAATAATCCGCCACATATTACCGGTTCCGTTCCCGCGCAACTTCCACTCCCCCATCGGCGATAGTAATCGCGACAACACTGTCAACGTGGGAAAAGTTTAACACAGACAAATAGACCGATTTCAGACCGAAACTTTCACCCCTCCGAGGCACAAAAGGTAATTTACCGGCCTATAAGACACGAGCAGCACGCGTGCCGGCAACATAACACAGCGTACGCAGCCGCCGGTCGTGTGTGTTGGTTGCATGTGTGATGACTGGTAAAAACGCGTATATAGCCGTACGCACACATTTGGGCTAAGGGGGGGGGGTGTATGTGAAACAAAGTGTAGAAGGTATGAAAACCAAACCAATTTGCCGGGCTAACTTTGCACCGTTTACAAGGTCCGTAGGCGATACCATTAGTTGGGAGAGGGGGATCACCTTTATTCACGAGCAGAATATAAAAAACTGAATAGAATAAAAGATAATATCAGACTAACGATAGTAGTATCAGATACAATAAGATAGAACGTATCAAGAATATAGATAGATAAGAAAAGATAAAGAATACGAGATGTGACTGAAAAACTATTATGTTAATTTGTGCTGGTTACGTCGCTGCAATGGTTGATTCTATATGGTACATTATTACTCACTCTCAGTACACGGTTACCACAAAGTGCGCGAATTATTTTTACAACGCTTTGCAAGGACTGGAACGCTATGTCCAAGGAGAAGAACTTTCAAGGGCAAAGGAAAAAATTCAAGGACTTTCAAGAACTGTGGTGACCCTGGCATACACACACGCACGCGCGCACGTACGCATGTATACACAGTACTTACACACTACAGAAATCCAACGGCTAAAATCACGTACAAAAGTTCCAATAATAATTCAAAAATCCAACTTAAAAATCATTAAAAAACGTTTTATTCAACAACTCCATTTCATCCCACACGTTGGCCCCCTCCCAATACACACATACATACATACACACGAAAGCACCAGGTTGTAACGGCATCCCCGACACCTGTCAATACACAGCTGCCTTGGCTTGTGCATGCATGGCAGCGACCAATTGGTTTCCTTTAAGCTAACCTTTAACAAAAACGATGACGTACGAGGCGTCGCACACATAGGTATCATACAATATCGTTATATACATGATATCTATATGGTCCCGCACGAGCGAGGTAACAACGGATCAAACACAACGCGTTCCAATAGTGAGTATTGCGCATCACGGGGATGCAACCACCAGCGCATGCGCAGTATGATCACATCAACACTGCAGCCGATTTCTCTCTAACACAACAGATCAAACGATTCCATTCTTATAACTTAGTTACCAAACTACATGTTTCCATTTTGATAACATATTTATCAAACTTGATGTTTCCATTTTGATAACATAGTTATCAAACTATATGTTTCCATTTTGATAACATAGTTATCAAACTATATGTTTCCATTTTGATAACATAGTTATCAAACTAAATGATTCCATTCTGATAAAAGATCAAATTAGAAATGTTTATTTCCTGATAATAGGTACCAAACTATATATTTTTATTTTGGTAACAGATCTATCTATGTTTTCCTTGATAATAGGTACCAAACTAGATATTTTCACTCTGATAATATACCAATCTACCGCTGACAACAAGTACCAAACTAGTTATTTACATTCTGATAACAGATCAATCTATAGATGTTTTTCCTCATAATAGGTACCAAACTAGATAGTGTCATTCTGAAAACAGATAAACCTACAGTTGTTTCGACTCGCATGTGATCCGGCAATCAACTAACTATCCATGTAAAATTTTCAGAATATTAGAAAGCATTACTATTTGGTTGACTTCCCTGTTGGTTGTTTTGTTGACCAACTGTTGGTTGGTTCCTATTGCCCATAAGTAAACACACGATTTCGAATAGACAAATCAGTATCCACCCCCACCCCCCCTTACCCCCAAACTACCCTCC